AAATAATTTGTGATAATTCTACTTTTCATTTCTTATGCAAGTCCATCATAAAGAAGTTTGTGACAATGAAGTTTAAATCGTAATAAAATGCTGCAACTTAAATTTTTATTAATTTTTGTTCATTCATATTTTACATCGAGGATGGCATATGATTTTATGTAATCATAATGTCTGAAATCAGCTGTCACTTTAAAGAAGCATTTTCTTTTTGTTTCAGAATTCTGGAATTGAAAAGGCATTTCTATTTGATGTGGTCAGTAAAATTTATATTGCAACTGATAGTACTCCAGTGGATATGCAAACCTATGAGCTCTGCTGTGATATGATAGATGTGGTTATTGACATCTCTTGTATTTATGGGTAAGTAAAACATTGGTTTTGGGTTTTTTTTGTTTTTTGGGACAGGGTCTTACTCTGTTGCCCAGGCTGGAGTGCAGTGGTGCTAACATAGCTCACTGCAACCTTGACCTCCTGGGCTCAAGTGGTCCTCCTACCTCAGTCTCCCGAGTAGCTGGGACTACAGGCACACACCACCACACCTGGCTAATTTTTTAATTATTTTTTTGTGGAGACAGGGTCTTGCTATGTTGCCTGGACTGGTCTTGAACTCCTGACCTCAAGTGATGTTCCCACCTTGGCCTCCCAAAGTACTGGGATTACATGCATGAGCCACCTCTCCCAGCCGTAAAACATTCTTAAAGGCCGCAATCAAGCCATTCCTTTTTTTCATAATTTTTGAAGCATTTTGCATTTACTTTTTTTGACTTTTTAAATCACTGAGATCTACAAATAAATATATCATTTAGTATGCAATAATAATAACAATTATTGAGCAAATGCCTGGCATTTTGCTAATAATCTTATTGCCTGCATCATATAATTTAATTCTCAACTATTTCATGAGGCAGGAACTATAGTTGACCCTTGAACAAAGTAGGGGGTTAGGCGCGTCGACCCTCTATGCAGTTGAAAAGCTGCATGTAACTTTTGAAAATGCATGTACTTTTAAAAATGTAACTTCTAATAACTTACTGTTGACTAGAAGCCTTACTGATAGCACGAACAGTTGATGAATAAATATTTTGTATGTATTATGTACTGTATTCTTACAACAAAGTAATCTAGAGAAAAGAAAATGTTATTAAGAAAATCATAAGAAAGAGAAACTATATTTCCTATTCATTAAGTGGAAATGGATCATCATAAAGGTCTTCATGCTTGTCATCTTCACACTGAGTAGGCTGAGGAAGAGGAAGGGTTGGTCTTCCTGTCTCAGGAATGGCAGAGGCAGAAGGAAATCTGCGTTTAAGTGGACCCTTGTAGTTTAAACCCCAGTTGTTCGAGGGTGAACTGAACTGTGCTCACTTTACAGATGGCAAAACTAAGGTTCAAAGTGGTTAACTTTCTAACCCCCACTCATTGTCAATAAGGAACAGTACTAGAGTTCAAACCCAGGTCTAACTGATTCCTGATCCTCTGTTGAAAAATCTATCACCGTATCTGATGTTTTATATACTTGGGAGAGACTGATAGATCCTGAACTCTAAATAAATATCTCATACTAACAACATTTCTATTTTCCTCCTTGTTGGAAATAACTGGTTTTTTAAAATATATTTTTGATCGTCTTATGGACAACAGAGAATTATAAAACTAAGCAAACATTATGTGCTAATTATTACTTACTATTATAGTTTTATATTCCTAGAAAACAGGACTTCTTGTTTACTTAAAATAATATAAAATAAACAAGGAATGGGGAGAGGTGATTATGTTACCAGACAAATGATTCTACATAATTATAAATTTGCTAAACAGGTGTGGTACAGAGTGAATGGGTGTGAACTAGTTGTTTGTCTCTCTTACGAAGATGTTAGGGTGTTGCTGTCTGTTTATATTGTATGTTACATCCTCATCCATTCTTTGATGAGGTAAAGCTTTTGTTCATCTTCCTCTTTATTCACTGCCTGTCACCTGCTTCACACAGCTTGACACTCTCCCTCCCACTCTCACTGTTTCTCTCTTCTGTCTGAAAGCCCTTTTCCCGCTCAGTTCAGATTCTCTCTCTTAACTCTGTTACACACACACACACACACACACACACACACACACACACACACACACTCCCTTTCATTATGAAATAGGGAAAGTGATACCTCATAAGATTGTAGTGAGGGTGAATATCATTAGGCTCATAATGTGCCTTCACCTGGTAGACCCTGGATAAATGTAGCTGTCATAATTTATTATTATTGTTGTTATTAAACACTGCCATCTGGCTTTAGACATAGACCTTAGTGCCCAAGATTACTGCCCTGCAGTATTCTATTATTTTGAAACCATCAGTGGATGACCTTGAAATAGGCATGGAAGCTGAATGTATGCTGATTACAGTCTAGATTGCTGTGGTAATCAAGTACAATGAGCGACACAATTAATCTGGCACGTATTTAACGATATGCATGATCATTATTGTGCCATATGGTAATTAGATGTAAGTGGTAAGTTGTTCATGTAAATGATGTTAATCAGAGTTACTTTTACCCAGCTAAAACAAACATGGGGGGGTGGGAGGAGGAAGCTGGGCTTTGCCGGCAGATTGTTTTTCTGTGGTGGAGTGCAGTGTTGACGAGAACCCGCAGGATTCAGTCAGAACCAGTCCCGGTCGCAAATGGTTTGCCTGCTCTGGGATTTCTTCAGATTGTTTGCTGGAGCAGTGGCAGGAGGCGGGGTGGGGATGTACAGGGAGCCTGGGGACCTCTTAGGCGGTGAGGCTGCAGGTGGCCCTGTAACCGGAGGTCTCCCTGCCCTTTACCAGCTGCCCCGTGGAGACCAGTGCAAAGCAGGTGACCTGGTGTCTCAGGAATCTCTTAGCTGAGGTTCTGCCCCTCCTGCCCTCTGGCGGCTCTACACATACACCACCCTACCCTCAACATACACTTTAAAATATGTTTCCTCTTGTGTTTTCATTACTTAGACATGAAAACTTGAGTAGTAGAACAAGTTTTTATAGTTGCAAAACCTCACCAATTTCTACTCGTTTTTGGGGGGTCTTTTTTGTTTTTCTGATATTTTTGTTTAGTTTTTTTCTGGTTATGAAAGTAATGCGTTTTCATTGTAGAAAATACATACAAGTATAAAGAATAAAATTAAAATAGTTCATAATCTCACCACCTAGAGACAGTCACTATTTACATTTTTATATATTTTATTTTTATTTCTATGTGTAATTTTTAGGATAATGAAATCACTTTATATATAATTTTACATCCTGCTTTTTTCTTTTAACATGATCGCCTAAGAATTTTCCTGTGTTATAATGCTGTTAATAAACACAATCTTTAGTATCTACATAGTATTGTCTTTACTTGGAAATTTTAAAGACGTTTTCTTCATTGGGTAGAAAATTTTAAATGTTTCAGTTTTTTGTTCTCGGAACATTACTTTATAAGCAAGAGAAATTCAGTCTTAAAAAACAGCTAAAAACAATACAATGGAAGTTAAGAATCCTATCAAATCATCTTTAACATTTGAGGTCCAAGACTTAAAAGATTTTTCTTTTATATTTTGATAGGTTATAATGAGTTGAATCCTTTTCTTTAAGAAAAATAACTTCTACAATTTACTTTTAAGTAGCCATGTATATGACAGTTTAAAATACTCTCAAAACTAAAAACCTGTATTTCCCTTAAAGTACCCTACAATTCAGGCTTTTCATTAAATCTGGCGTGTCCCCTACCCCCTTGTGTATTTATGAGATTAAAGCATTAACTTTGAAATTAGATCTAGATTTGAGGTCCTGGCTCTATCCCTGTCATCAGCTTGGACCAAGTTATCTTATTTTCGCCCAGCCTCAGTTTCCTCAATACCTAGCTTAGGGGATTCTTATGGCAGACGGTGGGTAATGCATGGTAAGAACTAAGAATGGTACATGTCACATAGTAAATGCTTAATAAATGCTAGCTCTTATGTGAAAATAATGAGGTTTAGCACAATTCCAATTAAGTTAAATTTCTGGTCAATTAGTCATAAATTTAGGGAGTAAAAATAAATCGAAATTTATATACAGTTTCAGATAAGGTATAGGGAAATATTTTTTGCCTATAAGGATTCATAACTCTTTCATTACGATGATGTCTTCAGAGGGTCCAGTTTTGATCACTAAAGCCATAATAATAGCAATTATCATTGTGTATTTTATGTTTTCCATATTACCCTTAGTGCTATATATGCATTATTTCATTTAATCTCCATTAGGAAACTTTGAAGTAATTACCGTTAGTATACAGATGAGGAAATTGAGGCTCAAAGAACTTACTCAACTTGGCCAAGCTCATGTAGTAAATAAGAGCTGAGATTCAAACCTAAGTCATTTGTGTCTACAGATCACACTTTTCTTAAGTAGACCAACATATTAACTCTTTATTTTGAAAAAATTTCAAACATACAGAAAATGTGCAAGAGTGGTACAGAGAACTTTTATATACTCTTCCTTGGGATTCACCAATTTTACCAGTTTGCTGAATCTCTCTTTTTCTAATACATATTTTTCATCTCTTTGTTTTTAGTGACCCATTAGAGAGTAAATTGTAGACAGCATGGTGCTTTGATCCTAACTACTCGAGCAGGTATCTGTTAAGAACAAAGATGTTCTTTTATAGGACCACAGTTTAATTATCCAATTTAGCATGGCTACATTATCACCTAATATATGGACTATATTCAGATTTTACCAATGGTCATAATTCTATCTTTTATAGCAGTTTTTTCCCTGATCCAGGGTCCAGTCCAGCATTTGGTCTCATGTCTCTTTAGACTCCTTTAATTTGCAGTAGTTCTTCAGCATTTTTGATCTTTCATCAGACCATGCTTTTGACAGCCTGGCTATTATTCTATCATGAGAAAATGAGAAGCCCTTGGCCAAGGATGGAGGAAGAGCTAACCTCCATCCCTCACCTTTCTTCCTCAGGTCCCTGGAAAGTTGTCCACCTGCTGCAACAGGCACTCGCTGTGTCAGTAGGAAAGCGACTGTCATGGACTATGTATGTTCTTGTGACTGTGTGTTTCCGAGATCTTTTGCTGAAAGGCACTGCAAGTGTAAATGACTTACCATGATTATCATTTTTTGTGTGTTAAAGCTGGTCTCTGTCAGTGACTTACAATTTGTAGTTCTTTCTCAATGGTCAAATACATTTTGGTTTCTGTTCCCATTTAGTCTCAAAGAAGATGGAGCAGGAACCCCCTATGACAAGGAATCAACAGCCATTATAAAGCTGAATAATACAACAGTTCTTTATTTAAAAGAGGTGACAAAGTTCCTGGCTCTCGTTTGCTTTGTCAGAGAGGAAAGCTTTGAAAGGAAAGGTAATATTTTGATATGATTTAAAAGAACCATTTCAATTCAAACTGATACTGCATTTATTGTTTGTTGAATGTGAGTAGACAACAGTATGTCCCTTGAAACTTGTAGTCACAGGCCCCTTGGTTGGCAGCCTGAGGGGGGCCAGAGGTGACTTCTGGGTCAGTGAGCCAGCCCGCCCTCTAGTGGTGCAGCCGTGACTGCAGTGTGGTGGAAGTGGACCCGGATGCCTTCCAGGGGCCTTAGCTTCTCTGTCAGCGAAGCTGGCTGGCGCATCATTGCCAGGCTGTGGAGTCTCTTACCAGGGAGAATCTCCCCAGCTATATGAAAGGCAGATGCCCCGCCCCACACTGGTCCACACCTCTAGAAGGTCTTAGGTGACCATGTGACCATTTGTTCTCCTCATATAAAGAAGGGGACAGCAATACTTACACGACATTAAAGCTAGATGGTATTTGACTTCTTTTCAGCCCTCATATATTCATAAGTCTTCAAAACACATGGATGGTATCATGATTCTGAAAAGGGAAGACATAAATACCCTTAATAACTTCACCAAGTATCTTTTTAGGACCAAATTCAGTTTTATTTTGAAATAAAAGCAATTAACCTCGTCCCTCTCTGCCCCCCACTATCTAAACTGGGATACTTACTGATGTGGCCAGGGATTTTTGTTAGTAATTAGTGTATGGTTTACTAATTTGTTGGGTAAAAAAAATTCCCAAAAAAGTAGCAATAGTAACATTTACTGACATAGCATTTTTCTCCAATACATGTTAATTATAAAATGCTTTGAAAATTTAAGAAAATATAAAGAACAAAGTAAAACCACTCATTTCACCATCTAGAGCTGATCTGATGTTAAATATCTGAAATTTTCTCCCTCCCTCTCTCCCTCTTTCCTTCATTTTCTCCCTTCCTTCATCCCTTTTTTCTTTCTCTCAAATAAAACTGGGGCCATATTATCTATATAGTTTTATATCCTATTGTTTTCTCTTATTTATATCATGAGATTTTCCTAATTCATTGGCCATAATTTAGATTTTGTTTCTTTTTATCACAAAATTAATGGATTAATTTAGAAAATTCAGAAATAAGCAAAAAAATAATAATTATTGATAAGCTTCACTCAGATAACCACACTTAACTTTTCCTGAATAACTTCCCAGCCTTTTTCCTGCATTTACATATGTACTTTTTAAAAGAACTATAAGATTGTATGATAAATACTACTTTATAACCTTCACTTAAATTATTACAGATATTTTTCCAGCTCACTGTCTTTTTTTAACCACATCATTTTAATGACTGTGTTTGATTCTTTCGTTAGACATTTATATTGTTTCTAAATTTTGATGTTACAAATAGTACTATGATGACCTTTGCACTAAATATTTGTGTACAGCTTCAGTTATTTCCTCAGGAAAAATTTCAAGTGGAATTACTTAGATCAAAAGGATTGGCACATTTTGGTGACTTTTAATGCGTATTATCAAAATGTCCTTCAGAAAGATTTTTTTTGAGTTTGTGCTACTAAGAGAATATGAGTGTGTTCATTTTGCTGTATTCTTGTCAATACTGGGTATTAGTAATTTATTTTGTTTTATTTTTTATTTATTTTTTTGAGACAGAGTCTTGCTCTGTAACCCTGCCTAGAGTACAGTGGCATCAGCCTAGCTCACAGCAACCTCAAACTCATGGGCTCAGGCCATCCTCCTGCCTCAGCCTTCCAAGTAGCTGGGACTACAGGCACGCACTACGATGCCCAGCTAATTTTTCTATGTTTAGTAGAGATGGGGTCTTGCTTAGGCTGGTCTGGAACTCCTGAGCTCAAGCGATCCTCCCACCTCGGCCTCCCAGAGTGCTAGGATTACAGACATGAGCCACTGCACCCGGCTGGTTTCATTCTCATTTTACAGATGATTTTACTCAGGTCTAGAAAATGTAAGTGACTTTGTCTCAAGGTCACACTAACAGTTTATGGCAGTCAGGGTTAAAGATTGCTGAGCTTCTCTTTATGTAGAGCCAGGTATGTATGGTGTGTGTGTGTAACCATTGTACATATATTTCTTTGGTTAAAGATATTTCTCAAATTTTTATTGGATTAATATTTCACATTGATTTTGGAAGCTAAGGAAAATAAAAGTAATGCAGCTACAGCCCCAAAACCATGTAGGATGGCAGCAGGTCCTTAAATCGAGGAAACATTAGGGTCAACCTAGAGAGCTTATTTATTTTGAACTGATTTTAAACTTAACAGAAAAGTTGCAAGAACAGTACATAGTTTTTATATATTCTTCATCCAGCTTCCCATAATGTTAACATCTTACGTACTATATATAGTTCAGTTATCAAAACCAGGCAGTTAACATTGGCATAATACTATTAAACTACAGACCTTATTCATATTTCACCAGTTTTCCCACAAATGCTCTTTTTCTGTCCCAGGATCCCTGACTTGATTTAGTTTTTATTTCTCCTAGTCTCCTCCAGTCTGTGACAGTTTATCTCTTATATCCTTGACACTTTTGAAGAGTACTGATCAATTATTTTGTGGAATGTCCCTCAAATTGAGTTTGTCTGATGTTTTCACACAGTTGGAATGAGATTATGCACTGTGGCAGGAATACCACGGAGAAATGAAATTGAGTCCTTCTCAGTGCTCATATAAAGTGGTTCATTGATATGTCTTATTAGCAGGGATGCTAACCTTGATCTAATTAAGGTAGTGTCTGCTAGGTTTTTCTACTGTAAAGTTCCTATAGTTAATAAATACTTTCAAACTGTGCAATTCCTGTTTCTCCTTAAACTGTTGCCCACTAATTTTAACATTCATCTATGGTAATTATGGAACTAAATTTAAGCGGGAATTTATCATGTGGATCTTTGGTAAATTATTCCTAAACCACCTAGGTGGGATTATCTCTGAGGATAGGCAGATTTTGTAGAGTTTTAAACTGACTAGAAAACTGGGTATTAGTTTTAATGTTCTAACTAACAAATGTAAGCAAGTGGGCAGACTTCATGTTTAACTTGTGTGCCTTTTAGGGTAACCAACCATCTCCATTTGCCTGGGATTGAGGGGTTCCTGGGACAGGATATTCAGTGCTAAAACTGGGAAAGTCCCAGGAAAACGGATGAGTTGATCACCCTAGAGAACTTAGTGCTTATAAATGTATGGAGTACTTTGATTTGTTTGTTGGTGCTTTATCTCAAGCGTTATTGAGTCCTGTTGGTGCTGATAATCTGCACTTGATTATCTTTTCCTCCTGTTGCTCTCCTTCTGTGTGTTCATTAATGCTCCCCAGGACTGCTTCGGCAGAAAAGAGAGGATTGAAATCAGATGCACATTATAGGCACCTCAGGAAGGAGAGTGGTTAAAAAATGCGGATATCTGTGTCCCCCTCCAAACAATTAAAATAGAATTCACAGGAGATGGGCCTGGAAATAATTTTTAAAAAATTACCTGTGTGTTTTAATGTGCAGCTAGGATTGATGACCTCTAAACCAAAGAATGATGTGGGATCATATTAACTTGGGGGTGGGGGGTGAAGATAATTCCTGTTTTGTTCATGTCTCTGTCCTTGTATTCTCAACTGCCTTTAATGAAAGGGTTGAAATAACAAACACTTCTAAATGTTTACTTCCTTTAAAAACCTCAGTTGTGAACTTTGCTTTTTTACTTTTAAAACCCAAACACAGCAAAATTACTGTTAAATTTTGAAATGCACGAAGATGTAAGTAAGTTTTGTCAAGAACTATCAATAGGATGTCTCTGAAATCTCCCCAGTTGAGAGGTTTTTTTTTTGTTTTTTTTTTGAGACAGAGTCTCACTCTGTTGCCCTGGCTAGAGTGCCGCCTAGCTCACAGCAACCTCAAACTCCTGGGCTCAGGCCATCCTCCTGCCTCATTCTCCCAAGTAGCTGGGACTATAGGGCGTGCACCACCACACCCAGCTAATTTCTTTCTATTTTCAATAGAGATGGGGTCTTGCTTTCCCTCAGGCTGGTCTCGAATTCCTGAGCTCAAGCGATCCTCACACCTTAGCCTCCCAGACTGCTAGGGTGGCATAAGCCACCCCACCCGGCCCCAAGTTGAATAATTAATTGCAACCTTCTCACTGAGCCAAATTTCTTTAAGCTTTCTTAAGGCAGTTTGTTGTGCATATAAGCAAAGAATTCGAGGTTGTTCTCACATCTTGTATTCAAATTCCCAAATTCCCACTAAGTAAAATCATTTCTTTGTTTCTTCTTTGTATCTTATTACTTTCCCCCTTGATTGCCTCATTGATCGTTTTCTGGAGGAAATTGTCTCCTAGTTTCACTGTTCATGTGGTGCACTGTCTCTGCAGAAGCAGCAGAGGGCACTACTCAGAGGCTTTCCTGCTCCCAGAAGTGGAGACGGTGGCCACTTCCCTGTTGCAGTTGAAGAATTTCATCGTTGGCTGGAATCCCAATTCTTTCTTTGGGTGGGGCTCTGGAAGTATCACCTGACAGATGGAAATAATTGCTGGGCTAGTTATTTTAATAAATTTAGTAAATAGAACCAACCACTTTATCCTAATTGGTGTAAACATAATGTTGTTCTCAAGACTTTTATAAATTAATTGTAATGATGAAAGATGCATTCCTCAAGATTTTAGATTGTCTTTTATTCTATTATATTTTTGTGCCACTGATTTATTTTTGAAAACTCAAGAAGATTCTCCCCTACTATTTCTGCACTTAAAACTTATTTAATATTGAAAAGCTGAGAGTATCTTTGGTTGTTAAATTTCTGAGCTTAGATTTGACATGAAGTGACTGTTACTACTGGAGACTTTGCTTCCCTGGGGTTCTGAGAATGGTTTAAATATAATAGATATTCAGTAAAGATTGATTGATTGATACTGTGGCTTTGAGATCTCAGCCACATTCCCAACTCAGGGTCTGCCTCTACTCAGAGTCAATTTAGTAATCCCTTTTGGGGAGAAAAATTTTTCATTACAGGTTTATCTTAATTGTAAGAAACCTTTAATTCTGAAAGGTAAAAAAATATACAGTTCAGTGGTTCTTCACATCTTTTAGGTCATCAATACTTTTGAAAATGTGATATATACTGTGGAACCTTGCCTCAGGAAAAACCTGCCTTCACAAGACTTTGCCTGCAGTTCCTGGAGCCCAGCTGCAGACCTCCCAGAGAAATCTGTGGCCCTTACATGAAGGCTGCTCCTCCACCACCCCCTGCTGGCCTGTCCTGGCCATGGCTGACATAGAAAAATGGAGATTATTTCTATGTGACATTTACTGATATTTTTGTTCTCTTCTCCAGGGCTTATCGACTATAATTTTCATTGCTTTCGGAAGGCCATCCATGAAGTTTTTGAGGTGAGAATGAAAGTAGTGAAATCTCGAAAAGTTCAGAATCGGCTGCAGAAGAAAAAAGGAGCCACCCCTAATGGGACCCCGAGAGTGCTGCTCTAGGTGAGGTTTCAGGAACACCTTTGAAATCAGACCTTTTTGATGAGGCTGCTGCGTCATGTTGCACTAAAGGAAGAGGAAGAAGGAAATTGGGACACATAACATGGATTTGTTGTAAAAAAAAAAAAAATTCCTGCAACCCTCTTGATCTTTTCTTTTTTAAATAAAGTAAGCACTTTCAAGCAAAAACTTGTATATTAACAATGAAGTGAAATCCACTGTACTTTCATTACACAAATGTAAACTTTTATGGTCTTTAGTCAGAAAACTCCCATTTGAGAACTGCCAGGAACTGTACATATTTTGCACTTTTTCATGTTTTTTTCTCATTGAACTGAACTTTGATAAAATGACTTTTTCTAAGCTTTTTCTGTACTTGGTGTCAAGGACATGCAGACTGCAGTCCATATCAATATGGCAATCAGAAACTAATCAAAAAGTGATGCATTGGGAATGACTTTTTGTAAATTTGGGAATCTTTGCTACCAGTTGTTGAGAAAAATCAGTTTTCAGTGGAGCTGGAACAGATTGGGGCTATAAGCTCCAGGAGCAATAAAAACTGTCCCCTATTTATAATGGGTATAAACAGGAGTTTTGTAGAATATATTAAGCACCAGACTTACCTAAAAATTTCTATAGCCGCGGCTGTTCTTCCCTGCTCAACAGATTTTATGAAGCTGTTTACCTCAACACATATCTTCATAATCACTTTATACAGAGAGATTATTTCTTTTTACTGTATTCTTTGGAAATTTTGGGACCAGATTTCCAAAATGGCGCTGATCACTGGAGAGAAATCAGAATGTCATTAAATTGCAGGATTTCTGGAGGATTTTCTGTACCTGTCATCCCGGGCAAAAGTAACATTAGAGGCCAAAAGTTGTCCCAAATGTATGTGATTGGCAACTGCAGACTAACAAATATATATACAATTCTGGATTGTATAACATATATGCAATTCTGGTACCTGTGAAATGGCCTGTTGCCATGCTACAATGAAAATGTTTGTTTAGGACCAGTTTTTTATTGCTGCATGACCTCAGTGAATGGAGCAAACCTCAGATTTCCACCATGGAGCTTAATCCTGTTAGTGTCATTTGTTATTTAATACCTCCAAGTCTCTTTTTCATCTGTGGCAACGTGCCTGTGTACTCCACCTCTTCCCATCTTGTGATTGAACTAGAGCTCCCTGTGCTAGCAGCATGCTCTGCAAGGCTGAAGAGCCATTATGAAAGCCCCTAATGGTGGGAAGTGGGAAAAGGATGGCCAGAGGAGGCATTACAATTAACTGTGTAATTGCTTCTATGAAATTCTTTCAGTTAATGTTTACTTTAGACTAGCAGGAAATTAAGAGAACTAAATCTACCCCTACAGCACATCATTCCAAGTAGGTAATTCTGTGTCCATCACAAGGATTAGCCCCTGAAGGATGTTTGTAAGACATTAGAAAATAATTTTTTTTAAAGCAGAGCCTCCTAGGGATATCAAAGCTGATCCTAGCAAAATATATAAATCCCTGAAACAACTTGTCCTTGAACCTTTCCCACTTCTATCAGTGGCTTCTTTCTGTCCTCTCTCCTCCCTCTCCCCAAGTCCTATTCCTTTGAAGCTGATAACTGAAATTTAAGATGGTAACTGATTGGGGTTGAAGGTTTGAGTCTGTGCATTTCAAAAGGAGAATTCTAAAAATCATTAAGGGGCCCTAACTCCCTTCCTCGTGCTTCCTACTCAGAAGCCTGGATAGTTAGGCACCCAGGGTTCCCTGGTTTCCAGAGCTATACCCTGTTGGACCTTTGCCAACAGGCCTGGCACTTATGTGTTATTCTTATAAATCTAATTATCTAATATTTTTTACAGAATGTTTCTCTTTGAATAGCAAATAAAGAATCAGTTTTCTAATACAATTGTATCCTCATGATAGAAACACTTGCCTATCTGATAAATCACACATTACTTAGGTATATATATTATTATAACCAGGTAGAGCCTCCATTTTTAAGCTGGGTATATGATGAGTTTTTGCTAAAATGTGCCTTAAAAAGCCTATTACTTCAAGAGCAAGTGATTCTTTGGGGGAAAGGCAAAATAATCCTATGACATAGGACCCAAGTTCATGGTAGTAAGTGTACTCTTTGATTAATCACACGCTAACATAGATGACTGCCTCAAACCTTGTAAGTGTGGCAATGACCCTTAATTAAAGAAAGATACGGGAGTTATGTCTAAGTGTTCAGTTTTTCAAGTCTGTGGTATTGGAATTGCAGCATGTGTTTTTGCAGGAATATAAATCAAAATCTGGTTGACATTCACAAACTGTTATTTTCTGAACATAATATATTTTGGACCCCTAAATAGAAAGTGACTAAAATCTCAGCAATATTGTTATGTATGGGTTGTCAACTCTGTGTGAAACTTACTCCAGAAAAACAGCTGAACTGTCTTGATTATTAAAGTATGGTATGCATTCAACTTGTACAGACTGGATATAATTTGTAATCAAGCATAGTGTGTATGTTTTACTTTAAGCTGTACATCATTTATAACCATTGTTAAACCATTGTTTTTAAGAATGTTAACTGCCAATTTAAAAGTGTGTCATAGCTTCATGATTTGATAAAGCTTTCATCTTATTTCAGGCATATTCATAACTAAACTTTCTGGGAGCAGAGTGGTCTCTTTGGTGAAAAGGAAATATGGCCTTTTCATATTCGTGAGGTTGTTTACCATACATGTATGTCACTGTTTCCTTGGCCCTGTTAGGTCCATTTAGTAAAATTTGTCCTGATTAACCAGCTCTCATGTTATGAAAAATGATGATAAATCTCACTATTTAAATTGAACTTACACTTTTATTTTTAAGTCTTCTTATCTCTCCATATTTTTGATGGGGACATGCCTGTTAGAACTGTAGAACTATTCTTTCAGTAAACTTCAGATATTAATTCTTGCTGCTCTGGCGCTAATCCCCTAGTCACCTGGAAATACTTTTCCTGATAGTCCACATAGTAAGATTATCATCATTCCTTACTCCGCCTAATAAGATTCCACTCTATAATGACCTTTACAGGTACCCTAAGAGTTCTCAGAGAAGGCTAGCATTAGATATTTTAAATATGAAATCCTGTTCTGATTAGAAAACCCGATCTGAAATTATTTCCAAGGTTTTTCATCAGTGGCAATGTTGAGTTTAAGAGAAAGAAACGTAGTCTTTAACAGGATTATTTGATGATAATAGATACTGATTGGGTGCAAACAATATGCCAGGCACAGCTCTGAAGTGCTTTTATAGAAGTAATCCTCATAAATCTGAGAGGTAAGTACTATTATCATTTGTTTTACAGATGAGGCAACTGGGGCCAAAGAGCTAAAAATAAATTTCTCCAGATAATATAATTAGTAAGACACAATGCAGGAACCGGAGTTGAGAGCCCACCTTCTCAACTACGTCTATACGCTGCTTCGCCAAATGTCTCTTTAAATACCTTCCTATCACAGATATGAAGAGGGGCACTTGTCATTCAGCATTTACTGCTGCATGAGCTTAAGTGCTGGGATGTTGGAAAAAATACCTATTCTTGCATGAGCTCCTCTTGCATATTTATAGAACCCATAGAGGCAGTCTTCTAATTGTACTTCAGAGAAGAAAGTCAACAAATATTATACATTTTTCTTCCTAATCCATTGACTAATGCTGAAGATAATATTAGCAGTGTTTAAATATGAGAAGGAAATGTAAATACCTTTTACAGCCATTTTTTTTTTCCTATCAGCAATAGTATATCAAGCTCTGAGCAAGTCAGGAGAAAATAAACCTTTGGTCTTAGCTATATGCAATTTATTACCTTGAGTTATCAATATGTACAACAAGGACTTACAGAAAACAAAACACTGATCAGGATTAAAATTTTAAAAAGTACATTTCAATCCTAATCCATTTTTGAGCTTCAGACTTATATTGAAAATTACCACTAGCATACCTTTGCTGAAATCTATAAGAAGTGCCTCAAATCTAACGTCTAAAATTGGCTTCCTTCTTGCTAAATCTCCTCCTATGATGGTATGACTTTCCTCCCTAGTGTTTCTGCCAGACTCTTGGACCTCGTTCTGATCACCTCCTACAATCACTCAGTTCCCTCAGCTCAGCCTTACAAATGTCCGCTGAATCTGTTCTATTCTCTCCAGCTCCTCTGGCACTATCTTGGCTTAGACCACCATCTCCTCCTATTTGGATCTCAGTAGCCTTTTAACCAATGTTTCTTCACCTCATGCATGCGTCCATTCCATTCTCCACACAAGACCCCAAGTGACCTTTTTAAACCTCTGCAGATCAGTTAGTTCCTTGCTTAACACCCTCTGATAGCGCTCCATTCCGCTTAGATATCAGTCCAGACTGATGAAGTTTGTAAGACCCTGCTTCTCTAGCCCTACCTACCCCTCTGGCCTTGGCTCATCTTTCCTCGAAAAAGCTCAACAAGCATGCCCAAACAGTGCGTGGTAAATAAAAGGAGTCGTGAGTTTTGATTCCTTTGTCAATCATTCTTCAACAAATATTCATGGGGTACCTATTACATGCCAGACACTGTGCTAGTAAAATGGCTAAAAGGCAGATACTTGAGACGGAAGGATTTTAATATCTAAAAATAATAAAAAATAAACTAATTTTAGATAGATCCTTGTAGGTATCAGTTTATAGAACTACAGTTGTGTAGGACTTTACCACTCTCCAGCAGAGACCATGGATAGTAGTAACTAGCATCCAAGAAGTTGAATTATTCAACTGATGTCAGATATAAATCCGTTATATTTAATAATACTAGTTTAATGTAAGACTAAATGTAAGAAGTAGGCTGTAAGTTGGGAATGTTTATTGAAGTAGTGCCTTTTCTTACAATTAAGAGGTGAATTAAAATACGAAGTTTTAAATGTTAGTTATTTCAATGTTCATACTTTTCCACCTTAATACATACATGAAATCAGTACCATTTCCAGAATTAGATTTAATAAAAAGTTTATTTTACTGTTTCTACTCTTTTCAATCTGTTAGTAGCAGAGAACCATGAGTGTTGCCTAAGGTGGATGTTTATGTTCTTTTAGTATGTTGTCATGAGCAACAATAGAGTACGTGAGAAGAATCTGGCAGTAGAATACAGGGTGGATGCAGGGTTCTTTTAGATCATTTAGAATTTTGAAAGGCTGGGTGA